TAGATATTTGATTCTGTTCATATGTCTCAGGTGGGAACTATCCTAACATAGCCAGGCTTTCCCCACAGTAAACATTAGTTTAGCCCTGATCAGTGTATGCCAGTCAAAATATGCAATGACACAAAAGGAGGGGCAGGAACTAATCGCTTGGAATGGAGGAGATTAGATCTTTCTGAAGCAAAGCCAAATTACTTCGGTCTAAAGTGTTAAGTGAAAACACGGCCACTTTTTTTTTTTTATAACAAAGCTGAGCCACTCGATGGATATCCTCTGAGGAAGCATTACCTTCCTCTCCAACCACATTTCTGCACTTCCTCTGTACCAGTGCCTGTTCAACCCCACAGGAAGCCTGTTTATGGACTAATCCAATAGACAACAAGCCTCAACAACAACAACAAAAATAATAATAAAGAAATTGAAGTCTTATAAAGTATTTAATTGCAGGATCATAGTTAACACCAGTGCTGGTACGAGGTAAATGCAAATAGGCTAGATTAGATATAACATGAAACTGCATTCTCTAACAACTTAACTTAAAAAACTGCTGCAAGTGATTAAAACTCACCAACTTGACTAACAGGGTGAACACATGGTCACCTATGCATTTCAGCTGTGGGGAATGCCAGTGGGTATTGGCACAGCAGGAGGATCAGAAACATATCAGTTCAGTTGGAAGTACAACTGTTTGTGTGCAGTGCTGGTCTGATGTGCAGAAGTACTTAGTATTCATTCACATCCATGCTTTGAGCTTTTTGTACTGTTTTTGTGATGTGCTTCACGAGAAATGCCCATGACAATGCTAATAAACACCAAGTGTCCCCAGAGCAGTATTCTAATAGCAGTAAACAAGTCGAGAGTTCACAAAATGAACTGAATGTACTGAAGAGCCTGCTCATTAAGAAAGCATATTTCACAGTAGAAAAAACAGCATTATTGGAAAATACATCTTGTTCATGTAAGACCTGTGTTGTGTCTGTTATATTAAACAGAACATAACAATAAAGGTTTACTATAACTACAAGTAACAGTGGGTCCATATGCTCAAAACTGCTTGTGTGTCCAAGACACTTTGTCCTAATGCTCTGCTGCTTTTTCTCTCTTGAAAACAGGTATTTTATGATGCCATTAAGAAAAAACTGAGGTTAAAATGTTAGAAAACATATGAGTTAGAACAGTATACGCCATACAAAACTCCTTAAGAAAATTCAATACAAATCTCAAAAAGTCTCTTCAGCCTCTACCCTAGTTGCTGTTATTGTATGGTTCTTGAACATCTCTAGTTTCCAATGGGGTTTTAGGGGCTTTGCATACATACCCCTTCTCAGAAGACTAACTTCAGTTGCCTTCTGTTTCTCATAGAAGTCTATCCTTCAAACTTACCACCACCTATGAAAGCATGTCCTATCAACAGGTGGAAACTAATTTTCCAAGTTTCTGAGGCCTTAATGCCTTTGAAGGAGACAAATCATTCTTTTCATATTTATTTTGATCACTCACCTTCTGGAAGCTAAAATAGAAGGTCTAGCTCTGCATTTTGAGGGAAAAAAGCTTCACTAGGAACGGTCTATAAGCTAAGGGAGAAGTATGAAACTGTAGCAGCTTCCATACCGTTACCATTAAATCCCATTTTTCAACACATCATCCAGTTGAAATCATCTGGGACAAACTTCAGTTTCCAGAATTTTTCAAACTCGGCTCTAGCAAGTCCTATCACATTTTGATTGAAAGCTTTTTAATAAAGCTACATTAGGATATATAAAGAGCAATTCATCATCAGAATGTTTTTCTTTGTAGAATATATAAGCATATACATCTGGCTCATTATCCACAAGCCAAAATATTTAAATAAAAAAAGTTAAGAACAAAGGTAATACCCAGATTTATTTGGAGAAATTCCCCCAGAAACTGTTGTATCTTTATACTCAACACCTTATGCATCAAGTCACCTTCCCAAAACCAGAAGCTGTGGGCTACTGGGAAGGTTTTGAGGCACACATTCCCTGGCATAATCCTCACTCCTG